GTGTATCCCCCAAATTATGTTATTTAGAGAATCATGATCCAGTGTTTAAACTAGAATATTAACCAATGTACTGTCTCAGTCCTACTGTATTTTAAAAGTAGTTTGAAAAGTGTAGAATATGGATTTGTCAATAGACTTGAGTCTACTGAGAAAATATGTACTCTGCCTTGACTCAATAAACTCATACTTAGTATGGTTCAGCTTCTTCATATTTACTCTTGCCCATATTAGAAAACAATTAGCTTACTAAACAAATTTGAGTATTTGGTGGGGGTGGGGTAGAGGTGATCCTGTCTGAATCTTTCTCATTTGACTAAGAATTATGGATATTTGATAACCATGTTTAAAAATGGAGATATCCAAATATTATTGTAAACACCCAATGATTTGTTTTACCTACAATATAAGTATTTTACTTGGTTGGCTTACATAGTAGCTAATAATATTTGTTAATGTAATTTAACTGCTGTGAACCTTTACTGAACAAATATTGAAATTTATTCAAGTCAAAGAAAGAGAATCTCTAATGACTTTTGTTAAAGCTTCTATTTAATAGTTAAGGAGAAAAGTTTGTATGACATACGAGATGCAATTAACAGTAGATTTTACATTTAATAAAAAGAAAGAAGCATGCGTATTTGCTTTATTCATTCCATCATAATTTGCATTAGAGCTGTGGGTGTTTAATGAGCAAATTCCAACTAAAATGCTATATTGATTTTCTAGTGAACTTTGTAATAGTCATCTACCTTGGAAAAGCTCAGTGTTTACAATTAAGTTTTCTTTACTAAAAATGTTTGAGAGTTGCATATTGATCCTTTAAAAATACTGAATTCTACAAAGAACCAGATTTTTCATAACCAACAAATTTTACATTAACTTAATGTATGTTAAAAGTTATTTAGTAATACTTTAATTTTGGTTTTTGGTTGTTTTTCTTTTCAAAATTATTTTTAATTGACAAATAATAATTGTATGAATTTATAGAATGCAGTATGATGTTTCAGTGCATGTATATGCATTATGGAATTATCAAATCAGGCTAATTAACATCCATTTTATTAAATACTTATTGTTTCTTTGTAGTAAGAGCATTTAAAATTTATTCTTTTAGCCATTTTGAAATATGCAATCCATTATTATAGGTCATCATGCTGTGTAATAGATCACCACAACCTGGTCCTGACACTTTGTGCCCTTTGACTAACACCTCACCTTCCCTTGGGTTCCCCTTCCCCACAGCCTTTGATAAATATTGTTCTACCTCTATGCAAGAATTTCACTTTTGTAGATTTTCTACATATAAGTGAGATCATGAGGGAGTATTCTGTGTGTGCCTGGCTTATTTCACTTAGCATATTGTCCTCTAGGTCCATCTATATTGTTGCAAATGACAGAATTTCCAACCCCCCTCCCCCAGCATTTTCAAATGAAAAAGAGCAATTCCAACTTTAAAGGCCTGGATAGTATTCCATTGTTTATGTATTATACCACATCTTCAAATCCCTTTGTCCATTAATGGACATTTAAGTTGTTTCTATATCTTCACTGTGGTGAAGTATGCAGCAGTGAACATGAGAATGCAGGCATCTCTTTGACATACTTATTTCAACTTCTTTGAATATATGTAGTATACCCATAAGAGGAATTGATGGATTATATGGTAATTTTGTTTTTATTTTTTTGAGGAACCTCATTCTGTTTTCCAAAATGGCTATACTAATTTACTGTACCCCCAATAGTGTAAAATACAGGTTTCCTTTTCTCCACATACTCACCAACACTTGCCATCTTTCATCTTTTTTAATAATAGCCAGTCTAATACAATGAGATGATACCACATTGTGATTTTAATTTGTATTTCTCTACAAATTATGAGTAGTGATGTGGAGTTTGGGGGATATTAACCCCTTACCTAATATATGATTTGCAAATATTTTCTCCCAATCTGTGGGTCGTCTCTTCACTTTGTTCTTTTGCTGTGCAGAGCTTTTTAGTTCAATACAATCCCATTTGTCTCTTTTTGCTTTCATTACCTATGTTTTTTAGGTTATATTCAAGAAATCCCTGCCCATACCAATACTGTAGAGCTCTTCCCATATGTTTCCTTCTAGTCGTTTTATAGTTTCAGGTCTTATGTTTAAGTCTTTAATGCATTTTAAGCTGATTCTTGAATAAGAGATAAGTCCATTTTTATGTAGATACCCAGGTTTTCCCAACACCATTCATTTAAAATACTGTACTTTACCCATTGCGTGTTCTTGGCACCTTTGTTGAAAATCAGTGGACCATAATAGCTAAGTGGTTTTATTTTGAGGCTCTCTATCCTGTTTCATTGGTGTATGTATCTGTTTTTATGTCAGTACCATGCTGTTTTAATTACTATGGCTTTATAATATATTTTTTAAATGGTAGTGTGATGCCTCCAGTTTTGTTCTTTTTGCCCAAGATTAATTTGGCTATTTGGGGTCTTTTCTGGTTTCATATGAATTTTAGGGTTGTTTTTTCTATTTTTGTGAAGAATTAACAGTAGAATTTTGACAGGGATTGCATTGAATCTGTAAAGTAAGATCTTTAAATTTGCCTTAATAATTTGTAAATTGTGAAGCCAAAATTTTTATATGTGTGTGTGTGTATGTATGTTTTCTGGAATTTTAAAATTTAGCCTTAGGATACTTACATGGTGATATCCTTTATGTACACCAATCCATCACTATTTAGCATCATTTTGTCTATTATATCTCACCTACAAATTAGAAATATTTTATAATGTAAATATTTAAAAAATCTTAGAATATCATATATTGTATAAACTATTAATGTTATTACAGCATGCAGTATACAATATATAATGGGTTCTGAATTATTTTTCTTTTGGTCTGTATAAGTTTTGCCTACCAGTGAAAAAAGTTAAAAAATCAGAGATTTTGAATTGGAATTTTTTTTTTTAAGAGAGTCTCACTTTATTGCCCTTGGTACAACCTCCAACTCCTGGGCTTAGGTGATTCTCTTGCTTCAGCCTCCCGAGTAGCTGGGACTACAGGCGCCCACCACAACGCCTGGCTATTTTTTGTTGTTGTTGTTGCAATTTGGCCAGGGCCAGGTTCGAACCTGCCACCGTTGGTATATGGCGCCAGCACCCTACTCACTGAACTACAGGTGCCACCCAGAATTGGATTTTTTTAAACATATAAATCATCCACATTAATCAAAACCATATATATGTTAAGATATCTTGGAATTAAGTCAAATTGTGAGTCTGTGGTTTTAGGGTAGTGACTATGGTGGTGGAATGGGAACTAATATTTTTTGAATACACTTTATTTTACTTATTTGGCCAAGAGCTTTCATATATTGTCAATTTAATTTTCCTAACAACCATGAGTGATAGTATTTTGTCCATTTTATATACTTGAACTACAACTAAAATAATTTTAGAAATTTATAAAGAAAAAAGGCTGCTGATCTGTAACACCTTGAATCTGAATCACAGCCCTTATTCTTCCACATACCATGCTGTTTTCTTTCTTTCTTCAAGCTGTTATTATTATTGTCCTGAGAAGGAGATTATACAGATTAGAAGGGAAAAATGAATCATTATAGTATAATGCAGTCTTAACAGAAGGTTCTTTCAAGACAGATCGAAGAATTGATATAGTAGTCCCCTTTTATCTGTAGTTTCACCTTCCTCAGTTTCAGTTACCCATGATCCAAAAACATTTAAGTTGAAAATTCCAGAAATAAATAATTATTAAATTTTTAATTGTATACTAGTTTGAGCACAGTGGTGAATTCTCATGTTGTCCTGCCCAGGATATGAATCATCTCTTTGATATGTTTTCTACCACCACTTTTCCAACACTTATAATTTATGTAACACAGTAGTAACTATCTTCATGAACTATGTATTAATCTCTAGCAAACCTTGTGCAGGAATCCAGTGCTTTATGGAGCATTTCAAATGTTTTCCCTAAATTGATTTCATGATTTGACAGTACAAGTAAAATTTGGTTTGGTGATTGAAGTATTTGAGTTCCTCTTTGTCAAAAATTTCAGTAATGTTTTAAAAATTATATCAGATTTCAAGTATACAAACAGAAATTACACTTTAGAAACGACAATTTCAAGTGACCTCAAAGTTCCTGAAAGTGCTGCACACATCTAGAGAATGCCCTCTGGATTATAATCTCCATCAGTGGTGCCCCTTGCTCTGTGCAGATGTGTAGCACTAAACCCAGCACAGCTCTGCCCCTTTTATTCTTCCATGACCCGTTTCCTTTTTTCTCCTTCCACCATCCCACTGAGAATTAAATAACTATTAATCTGAGTTTGTTGTTTATCATTTCATTATTTGTACTATTTTTACTGATTGTCTATCCATTGTTTTACTTTGCAATTTGCTATTTTTGCCAACATTTTGTTTTAGAGATTTTTTTTACCTGTTCTTAGTTAATTCATTTTTTTCTTAGTTAATTCATTTTAAATGCTGGGCAGTGTTCAATTCTGAATGTACTTTATTTATTCTTATTCCTGTTGATGGACATGGGGTTATGTCTAAGTTTTTGCTATTATAAGCAATGTGGCAATAAGTATTTTTATACATTATAAGTGGCTCGTGTGCAAGAATTTCTCTTGGCTATATTGTAGGTTGTAGATTAGGCCTTTCTTCAACTTTAGGAAACATTGCCAATTGCTCTTCAGGTGGTTATAGAAATATATATATCTATTTGCAGTATATATGAATTTCCTTTATTTCACAAACTTGTAACATTTGTTATTATTAGACCCTTAAATTTTTGCTCTTTTTATGGGTATGACATTATATCTCAATTTTGTAATACCTGTTAAAAATGTTTTCTTAAGCAATTAATTGATATTAATTCAACGTAATAAATCCAAAGTCTTTAAAATAACAGAATTATTTTGCTTTTTGTTTTTGTTAAATATATGCATTTCTCCTTTCTTTTCTTTGATTAATTGTTGGTTAAATATTTTTGTAGCTCTTGTTGAAGAAGTGTATTTTGCACAGAGGGAACGTGATGAAGCTATTATGTCTAGACTGCAGTTAGCCATCAAGGAGAGAGATGAAGCAATTGCACAAGCCAAGCATATGGAAATGTCTTTAAAAGTGTATGTATACATTTAAAACTCTGTATATTAGGAACAGTGATAAGAATGCATTATGTGCTGGTTACATTTTAAAAAATGTAACTGATTCTTTGTTGTTGTTGTTGAGACAGAGTCCCACTCTATGCTCCTGAGCAGAGTGCAGTGGCATGATAGCTCACTGCAACCTCAGACTTGGGCTGTGGGCATCCCGCTGCCTCAGCCTCTGGAAGCCGCTAACATTACAAGTGCTCGCCGCAGCATCCAGCTGGGTTTTTCCATTTTTTTCATGAGTCAGGATCTCACTGTCGCTCAGACGAGTCTTGAACTCCTGAGCTCAAGCAATTCTCCCTCCTCAGCCTCCCACAGTGCTGGGATTATAGGCATGAGCCACTGCACCTGGCAAAAAAATGTAACTGATCCTTATATGTCACACTTGTAAATCACATACCTCCATGATCTTTTTTAAAGAAAACCTTTGGCATGCTGTTTGCTTGTCAGTGATAATAGTAAATTTTAAAGGAAGGGAAGGCATAATACTCTCAATATAATCACTTTCTTTACTTTTTTGTTGTTGATTTCCTTACCAACTACTTTTTCTACCTGACTCCTCTTTCTTCTTCTCATCACTTCTTCTTCTTATATCACTTCCTTTTTTTTTTTGAGATAGAGTCTCACTATGTCACCTTGGTAGAGTGCTGCAGCATCATAGCTCATAGCAACTTGAAACTCTTGGGCTTAAGCAATCCTCTTGCCTCAGCCTCCCAAGTAACTGAGACTATAGGCGCTCACCACTGCACCCGGCTGTTTTTGTTGTTGTTGTTGTCGTTGTCATCGTCATTGTTGTTTAGCAGGCCCAGGCAGGATTTGAACCCACCAGCTCTGGGCTGGGTTTGAACCTGGCCAGCCCCAGTGTATGTGGTTGGCACCCCAACCACTGAGCACAGGTGCCGAGCTATTTTCACTTTCTTGATTTATTTCAGCTATCTGGTTATATTCCTGCTGCTCACTGCATAATAGCTCTGCTCTCTGCTTAATATCCCTGTTCCTATTCTTTACTATTTCTTTCTACTTGTAGTTCTTTTAGCTGTGATTCTTAAGTTTTAGTGACGCTTGGAATAGTGTGGAGCCTAATAAGCATCTACATTTTTGACAAAAGACCCAGGTGAGTCTTATGGGTAAGTATTGGACTACACTTAGAGGAACTATGCCCTAGAAATGAGTACTTCTCAAATATTAATGTGAAATCCAGTCACTTGGGGGATTTTGCTACAATACAGATTCTGGTTCAAGAGGTTTGGGATGGGACCTGAGAGTCTGTCCTTCTGCTTAGTTCCCAGCTGATAACAACCAATGCTAAAAATATTCTTCTTAGCAAAGTATCTCAAGAATGGAAGAAAAAAGTATCCAATGTACTCAGCCCTACTATGAAACTAATTTATAGCTTTCATATGAAAGCTATAGCTCAATTATAGCCCAAGAATATGGGGAAGAGGGAGGGGAGGGGATGGGGGAGGATGTGTGGAGGGAGGGTGATTGGTGGGACCACACCTATGATCCATCTTACAAGGGTACATGTGAATCTTTCTAATTGTAGAATATAAATGTCCTAACACAATAACTAAGAAAATGCCATGAAGGCTATGTTAACCAGTTTGGTGAAAATTTTTCAAATTGTATATAAAACCAGCACATTGTACCCCATGACTGCATTAATGTACACAGTTATGATTTAATGAGAAAAAAAACAATTGATGCTAGTGTAAGGATTATAATTTGGGTAGAACTTCTAGTATGATATTTGTAAAGAGAGACATAATGTAGTAATCTAGTATTTAATAATGGTCACTAAACATACTTATTGCATGTTTGTTTTACCCAGTGTTGTGCTATGCTCTGAGATGGAACAGAATTAGAAACTAATTAAAATCACGGTGCATTAGGGTGAAAAAGAGCCATAAATTAGAATGACAGTGTTAAAATTGTGATTAGGTAATATGACTTGTTTTTTGTTAAATTAATGGATTCATTTTTTTGAAGACAGAAACTCATTATGAAACATTAAATTTATTTGAAAAATAACAAATAAACAAAAAATATATCTAAATTCCACAATGTCTACTCCAAAGAAACCATCAACAGGGAAACATTACTGTAGGCATTTTCTCATTACATATACACTTAAATACTATTACCTAGGAAAACAAATGGTTTGTGGTTAAATGGAGGTATCCATAAAATTAATTTGATAAATTGCATGTGGTTTTGAGAGTCAGCATAGTGTACACGTTCAAAGCATGGAATCTGGATCCAGTCTATCTTCAAATATTGGCTATGCCACTTCCTTGCTGTATAGCCATAAATTATTAATTTTATTTATTTATTTTTGTAGAGACAGAGTCTCACTTTATCACCTTCGGTAGAGTGCTGTGGTGTCACACAGCTCATAGCAACCTCCAGCTTAGGTGGAGGTTGGCTTAGGTGATTCTCTTGCCTCAACCTCCTGAGCAGCTGGGACCACAGGCGCCCACAGAATGCCTTTCGAAGGAGTATTTTTTTTTT